GCCCCTTCTTCCTTGTTCCAGAGTACAAGGATACATAATGTGGCTTTAATTTACAGAAAATCAGATTCTGAATGTTTATTTATTTACAATGCATCTCTACAAATAACTCAATGCTATGAACATAGGTAATACTATTTCTTCCTCCTATTTTCTTCAACCCTATAAGGTGAGTTGGTCTGAGAGAGAGTGATTGGCCCAAGATCACCCAGTTGGTTTTCATGCCAAAGGTAGGACTAGAATTCAGTATCCTGGTGCCTAGGCCAGCACCTTAACCTTTAGACAAGGGTCCTTAACCTGTTTGGAATCAGACCATGCAAGCATCCACCTCTCACGTGGCGCACCTACCACTCATACAGAACCATCCTCTCTCCCCCATCCTCCTGCTGGGCCATTAAGACAGAAAGCTTGGGGACTGCTGCTCTAGATTGCTGCTCTAGGCTTGGGGGTGGGAAATTAAGAGCAGTTTGACAATGGAATTAGTCACCCAAGGGGCAATTTCTTCACTGGATGTGTTCAAGGAAACATTAGACAGCCATCTATTTAAAATGTCTTTATTTGGATTTTGTAACATAGCCAAGGTTGGATCTGGTAACTTAAATGATCCTTTCCATCCCTATTTGAAATCTTCAATACTTAATTGAAGTAAGCAAGGGGCAGAATTCCCTACATGCACTCTGAGAAGGCTAGAAGGGAGAATGTGACTTTACTCCTTTAAATACAGAGACATTGAAGTAAATGGATGTGTTGATTGTAATGAGGCTCTGTAATATGATGCAGCATAAAACTTTTCTTTGCTGGAGATTATGTATATTTGTGTGGTTAGGAATGGAGTTCTTAGGGGGGAATCTTCTGTATTCCTTGGAAAACAGTTGGTGTAATTTTGCAACTTAATATACAGTTTTTAAATTTTAATATGAATGTATCAACTATTTCACATCTCTTTCCCAACTATTAGGACATTGCTGGCCAGAATGTGGAAAAAGTTTCAGATTTGAAAGTTTTTTGACGCAAAATAGACTTTTCATCCTATAAACAAATGCTCTAAAATGCAGAGTCATTTCAAACGAGACACTTCTGGCAGGATCAGAAGTGTGTCATTGCATTTCCTGTGAGATCCAAACAACCTATTTCAAATGCAAACTATCAAAAAAGCTGCTTCTTTTCCAACTTCCAAGTGTCTTCAATACTGTAGCGCTGGCTTCAGTATTTATTCAGAATTGAATTAATTAAATAAACAGACAGACAGATTGTAAATAAAATATGTCATATTAAAGTAGTTAGCTCAGTTTCTTGAAGATTTCTAAGGGGAGATACCCAGCTTGGGCAACAAGTACGTCGAATTATCACTGCCTATTTTCATCCCTGGCATACCACTTTTTCTGTTTCCAGTTTTCACCAGTTTTTCATCTCACTGTGCTGCAGAAGCTAAAACAAAAATAGCACTCTACATCCAATAGGTGCTATAGAAATAAAAGCCCAATGTCTGGATATGTTTTTGAAGGATAACTTGGGAAATGTTCAATTAATTGCATACATGACTATTAAGTATCTTAGAAATGTAAAGGGGAGAAACAGATAAAAATACCCAGATGAAAGATCAAATTGTAGATCTGATTTTCATAGAAAGCCCATAAAAGTCAATAGATGGGGAGAAACACAAATATACCTCCTAATTGGTTGCTTGTTTGCCAGTTCTGATTATTCCTTGCATTTGCCTATTTTAAACTTCAGTACATGTAGATCAGAATTTACCTCTGCCTACGGTGTCATAAATTTCTTCACCTCCTGTGTTTCTAGTTTACACCAACATGCTTCCAAACTAAAGCTAAAATAAAAACTTCCAATTGAAAAATTGGAAATTGAATTATTCAATATTTTTCACAAAATAGATATGAAATTGAATGATACTGAAATATTGATTGGAATATTAAAAATGCAAGCTAGGGGATTCAGCAGCAAGGCATATTNGTAAAATGCCGCAAAACTCAACAAATTTCTCACTTAGCAACCTAAATTCTGGGCTCAATTGTAGTTGTCATAAGTCTAGAGTTACCTGTACTGGGATGCATTTGAAGTGTTGTAGAATGAAACTCTCACTAGCCAGGAAAATAATTGTTAGGGAAAGAAAGTATGCAACAGTCCCTTTTGATTATTGTGAATCTGAATCGCATTATTTTTGGTTCTTAACATTTTTTCTAAACGTTTGTTTCAAAGAATATGACAATACTTGCTAACACAATTAGATGGTAACATCAACAAGGTAGCATGTTTACTGAGAAGAAAAATGTCTTTGTTGTCTAGTAGGTTGATTAAAATTGATAACTTACTGTGCTATATAGTGTGAAATAGATACAGAAATATATTATTGTATCACAAAGTGGATTGAAAAGTAGTTATTTTTAGACAACATTTTAGGGCACTTGGCATTACTCAAAAGCTTGCTGGTATACTCAGAGGAGAAGGCATATAATATTGAATAAATATTTCTTAAAGACTTCTGGCCCAAATATGCTGATATTGCCCTGCACGGTATAGCTACAAGCAGACGCTGAACTGTATTATAACTGAGGGTGTGCTTTCATTCAGTGTAGGATACAGATATCACACTAGTAGATCTAATCCAGTATTTTCTATTCTGGAGCCTACACTTAATAAACACTGGAAGATGCAATCCTAAAGCATCTGAAAGTTACCAGTTATGGAACATAAACTTGATCTATGCTTTGCAGCAGGAGTGAGAGAGAAAGAGAGAGATGATCCTTGGATTATTTTTCAATATACAGAAATTCCATGGCCATTTAGTACAGTATGAAAAACATACCCCAACTATAAAAAGTTTGAAATCATTGGTATAAATTGAGCTATATTTCATTCTTCCAAAATAAGGGCTAAAATAACCTGTGAAATCATAAAGTTGTATGATGACTGGATTGTCAGGCATAACAGTGCAGATTTAGCATAGTAAAATGTTTCACTATTTTCACATTAGATAAGATTTGACTAAAATGCTTGTTCTTTAGCTAATGTTTTCTCTATATGAGTAGTTGAGTGTCAGAACATTAAAAATATATGAATCCCACCTGTTGTCTACCGTGATTTATCCAAACATATATACTGTAGCTTTAAATTTTGTGCCGAGTAAGTCAAAAGGTTCTAGGAAAGGTAAAATTAGCCTTTTATTGTGGATGTATATTTGGAACTGTAGAATTTGAAAAGTTTAGTTGAAGACATCTGTCACATCTGTCGCTTCTATTAATTTACAAATGTATCAGCTTCCTGGGAGTAGCATAATCATGAAATTTAAAATATCTGCATTTTTTAAGATGTCCATGCCAACTTTATTTTNAATCTTTTATAATATTGTTTTATCATGTAAGCCACTCAGAGTTATATGACAGCAAAATGGGCAACGTACAAATTTAATAAATAAATGAGCCAAGCCATATTTACAGAGGCCAATGCATAAATTTGTAAAAAAAAAAAAAAAAAAAGGATAATTAGCCCACCACACCATCACAAGAAAAATACAGTTTCTTAATTAAAATTATATCAAAATATTCTCTGTGTTGTTCATTAAATTGTGTAATAATATTTCAGCATTCAGAATCTAGAAACAAATGATACTGTTGCTAAAAGATAAGATTATATCATTTTATCTTATTAGTACAGATAGTCCTTGACATACTTATTTATTTTGAAGTTACGATGGCACTGAAAAAGTGACTTACAACCAGTCCTCCTACTTAACAATTGCAATGATCCCATGGTCACATAGACAAAATTTGGGTGCATGGCAAAGTCATGTATTGACGACGGTTACAGTATCTTGGGGACATGTGATCCCAATTTGTGACCTTCCCAGCCATCTTCCAAAAAGCATAACCAATGAGGAAATCTGCATTCACTTAACAACCACACAATTCACTTAACAACTGCAGTGATTCATTTAACCATGGAAAAAATCTTTGTAAAACTTGCTTAGCAATAGAAATTCTGGTTGCAATTGTGATAGTAAACCGAGAATTACCTCTATATCATATTTTCTCTGAAAGCTTATATCCCATCTATTCCTGTGAAAAAAGAGCATGAAGCAAAGAAAATAAGTAAAATTAATAAGCAGTTTATATTGAACAGAACTAAAAATATCCAAGTTCAATTAAAGTTTTGACTAAATTCATTAGACATTTTTAACATACCACCTAACTGTATAGTATCAGAGTTCAACACATCTTGCTACAGCATTTCATAAGGTGAGTGCAACATAGAAAAGCGAGTCTTGGGGTTAACTGCGTTAATGAAATCAGGAGTTAAATCTCACATGACTGGAGTGTATAAATAGGAACATAATGGGAGAAAACGATGCTCAACATATCAAAAAAGGAATCTCGTATGAGGAAAATCTTCATTATTTAGTGCATGTAATGGCCTGTAGGAAGGATCTTGGGAGACGGGGGCCTCAGCCTATGAATCTTCATGCAGAAGGTACCTCGTTTCCTTCCCATAGAAGGAAAATGAGCATCTCAGAAGAAACCCTCTAGTTTTGTGGAAAATAAAACTAAAGGAGGGGAGAAATGCTTTCAGACTTATAAAATACTGTTACAATAAAGGCTGTTAGTAATTTATGGTTTGTGCTTCTTCAAACTACCTTGAAGATTAACACTATACAAATGTAAAATAAACCTTATATGTGTTTTTAAAAAGCTTTATTTGATTGGTATCTCTCATGCAAATGAAATAGATATGTCATCACTGAGATAACAAATACTGTTCTATATTTCAGATGTGACTTCCCCCATATTTTTTACAGGGCTATTGATACTTCCTTGTCATTATTAAAAATATTTCTCCTACTCCAGTAACTAATTATTCCTCTTTTAATCATTTGTGTAAAACTGTTGAAACAGTATTCATTTCTACTTTTGGTCATATTATAATTTAGTTTCTCTGTATATAAAATGCAGCTTTATTGAAGTTCTATCTTGGTTTTTTTTCCTTTTTTGCCTGAGGTTTCGACCAATAAAAGGAAGACAGGAGGAACTGAAGGAGGTGATTGAGCGTTTTAAAAAAGATGAGCACTTGGAAAAAGCCTTCAAGTCCTTGACGTCAGGTGACTGGGCCCGGCACTATTTTCTTAACAAGAACAAAATGCAGGAAAGGTTGTTCAAAGAACATGTAGGTGTATTTATACTTAATCCAAGTTCAGTTTGTTACAAGTACAGTTTATAGGATATTGTGGATGTTAAACTGATAGAAAAAAATGTCTGTTTCTATCTTTAGCAAACACCCAGAGTTGCTTGGAGTTGGACGATGTACAAATTTGATAATTTAATAAATATACTATGTAAGATTTTTAAAAATTAACTAACTGGATGAAAATTAACAGCAGAAAAAGAGAAAGGACTGAGATAGCAGACAGCTTCAAAGAAAAGAAAAAAACAGGATATTATCAGAGGCAGCTGGAATCAAATGAAGGAAATTGTTTGCTTTTTATAGTGAAATATTGTGTCTTGTAAAAAGTTTGTGCAGATATACTTGATTACTTAATCATGATAAAGAAATAACTGGAATTATGTCCCCTATGAACATTTATTGAAATGACTTCAAACTGATGCATTAAAATACAGCTTTCCTTAGTGAGTGGTATATAGGAGGTGAATAAATATAAATTTGAAGACTGCATTTAAGGAATAAGCCAGAAACTCTTACTGAGGAGTATATGCTTAATGGTTTTATTGGGAGATGCAAAATTTAAATATTAAATAGCTAAAACAACTAGTGTCCTATTTTTGTTTTTTTAAAGATATAATTTACATCTCATCTTTGCAGAATATTACACATTGAGGAAATTAGGGCTTCATACATTGAAAGTCTGTCCTTTGGAAAAAGGTGTGTTATTTTAAAAGGAATTCTTAGTTCAGTACTCTAAAGCCTTGAATTCTCTTGAATACTTTGGTAGTGCTGTGTCTCAGAGAATTGTCAGATATTTGAGGATTGGAGACTAATACATTCAAAAACTAACTTTCTTCCCTGGCTGGAGAATGCTGGAACTCCCGGTGATATGATTTAATACACAATATGTTAATTCACATGACATTAGCTGGAAGTGTGTGTAAGGATATAATTATTTTTCCCCTCCCCCTTTTCACATAAAAGTGATTTTGAAAGCTCAAATTTTATACTGTATGTTATATAAAATACATGCTAATTTATATTTACTCTGAGGTTCTGTGAAGCATAACAGTGATGTGTTAATATTCTGAGTTTTTAGCAAGTGTAGCATCGATTTTAGTGCAATTTGGCAGCACAGTGTACTGAAGTTTTTAGCAGGGTTTTTTTAAATAATTTTTTTCTTGCTGCAGGTATTTATTTATTTACGAATGTTTGCAACTGACAGTGGATTTGAAATATTGCCATGCAATCGATATTCATCAGAGCAAAATGGAGCCAAAATAGTTGCAACAAAGGAGTGGTAAGTATTGCGGGGGGGGGGGGGATGTTGCTAAGTCAAATTTTGAAATGATAAAATTGTGTGAGGGAGTTTAAAATGTGATAAATAAAATAAAAACAACATTGTTGGGGCCAGGGAGACTTTTCTAAAATTCCCCTTCTAAGCTTTTATCTGTTTTTCATTATTTTTGCTTTTTCCAGTCTGCTGCTGCTTTACCATTATTTTCTTTCAGTTGAAAGGATTTCCTCCTAGATTGTCAGATGTTCACCCACCTTAGAAATAGACAGTGCCAAAATTAAATTGAACAAACAAGTAAATAAAATCTGTGTTGAACCACTTGTATAACCTCTGCAACCTGAATTACTATTGAACAAATTCAAAAACTAAATACTACTAGCAATTGGAGTATTTTTTAACATTTTGTTAAGAAAGCCAACATTTTACCAAAAAAAGTCTGGTTGAGGGGACAGAATTTATCCCTTATTAAACTTTTGTATTATGGAAATAAAATTATACAAAATAATTTATTTCTTTGTTTACTAGGAAACGAAATGACAAGATAGAGTTATTAGTAGGCTGTATTGCTGAACTCTCTGAACTAGAAGAGAACATGTTGCTCAGACATGGAGAAAATGACTTCAGTGTCATGTATTCAACACGGAAAAACTGTGCTCAGTTGTGGCTTGGTCCAGCTGCTTTCATTAATCATGGTAAGCAAACATTTAAAAAAATAAGTTGAATTTGCAAGTCCTTCTTAATATATTTTTGTTTATTCCCTAATTTAATCAATGATCTAAAATAATAATCCTATTTGAAATGGAGTTAGAATTATTTATTAAATATTTCAAATTTTGCTATTGTGCCTGTCAGTTAAGTTGTGCACTAGATTATAAAACCTGTATAAAACCTTACTTTAGGTATCTGTAATTATTCATGTTTCAGGTCTTATCAACAGTTAATTGATTTTATCTTTTGGACCTTTTTCAGATTGCAGACCCAACTGTAAGGTAGGTGTGCAATGTTTTACATAATCAGATTTTTAAAATGAAATTATATTAAGAAAACTTTTTAAAAAATTAAAATAAATTTTAATCATTCATCCTCTACAGTTTGTTTCAACTGGCCGGGACACAGCATGCGTGAAAGCTTTGCGAGATATTGAACCTGGGGAGGAAATTTCTTGCTATTATGGAGATGGCTTTTTTGGAGAAAATAATGAATATTGTGAATGCTACACATGTGAAAGGTAAAATGGAATGTACAGTTTATAATCTTAAGGAAACATGTAATACCCCACTCCTCCAGTTAGTAGGAATGTAAGAAAAGCCATTAAAAATGTGAAAAAAAAGGTCCAACTATATAAAGGTCATACAGAATCAGTCCAAACCAAAGGCAAATTGGAATAAAATAAATCTTAAATCTCACATCAAATTGGTGATTAACTTCTAGCCTTCCTTATAAGTGTTAAACAACATGAGGAACAGGATTGAAAAGATTAAGAGCTGAAGTGTTCCCTCTTTGGTTCTGCAGTGGTTGTGAATGCAAAGGCCAATTGTAATTTTACTTTTCCAGCACCATTTTAACTTCAGATGCTCACTAAGCAGGAAGGTCATTACCGTAAGTGACGATAACCTGTAACGTATAATATGCTGAAAGAAACAAAACTTTAACAGCACCGTTGAGCAAGAGACTGCTTAACTCACATCAAACCTTTTTAGACAATCTAGGAAAAGTCTCAAAAACAATAGGTTTTTAATTCATTGGAATAGTTAACTGATAAGATAATCTGCCTCACATATAATTTGTATCTACATAACCAATTTGTCTTACCCTCCCTTCCCTCACCCTCACTTATCACTGTTGAAATGGTGAGCCACAAGTCATCAAAGGTCATGCCTTTTAGTAAAATTAGTTAGTTGAAAAAATTACTAGGCTCCTGATTTTTTTATATCCAAATGATCTGTGTTTTGGTGCAGGTATGGACTATCCAAAGCCAGCTGGTTACATGTATCTAATACATTGTACACATATCTTACACCTCTCTACTTTTTCTTGCTTGAGGATATTTTAAAATGGAAAGTGTTAGAAATGCTTTATTTTATTTTTATTTTGTTCAATTTTGCACTTAGTTATTTTTGGCATGCAAATAGAATATTTTAAGATTAGATCGTTTAGCAAAATGTAACTATGCCAAATTCTTCTTTTTCTGTGTTAATAAATATTGTTTGACATCTAAATAAATACATGAGCATTTAAATATACTTTTAATTTTAAACTTCATATCAATTTAATTTATGACTTTCATTTCTATTTTAAGCTTAAAGTTGCCAAGCAGTTACCTGATTCATAGTTACTCAGCTTCACCAAAATTACTTTATCCTATACGTTTTTACTAAGTATATATTTAGTAAAAGACATCTTCAGATCATATCCTCCATATCCTGAAGAAATAATACAAAAATATTTTCTACAGAACACATGTTGATTCTTCCAATTAATATTGTACTGTCATCATACTTAAGGAAAAGTTAGGTTCTAATTTTATATTATTATTAATGAAATATAGTTCATTAAATTGAGGAAGCATACTTCACTTCATATACCAGTATGAATTTTTAAGAAAGAGAAATGATAAAGGAGTATCTTTTCAATTTTTTAAAATTAACTTCTCTTAAATTATAATAGCAGAATTTTAACTATACAAATGATTATTTTCTTTAAAATACCAATACAGACTCAGAATTAATATGATTTAATTAGCTTTCATTTTATTAATGTTATGTATAGCAAAATTAATATGTGTTACTCTTTTTTTTTAGACGTGGAACTGGTGCTTTTAAATCAAGAGTGGGACTGCCTGCACCTACTCCTGTGATCAATAGCAAATATGGACTCAGAGAAACAGATAAACGTTTAAACAGGCTTAAAAAATTGGGTGATAGCAGTAAAAATTCTGACAGTCAATCTGTCAGCTCTAACACTGATGCAGATACCACTCAGGAAAAAGCTAATGCAAGTAAGCAAGTGGCAAGAATATTTTGAAATGTGTTTTATGTAAGCATTCTTAACAGGTGGAGTCTTCACAGATCTTCTAAAGAGAAAACAAACATTTTAAGCTTTATGGTGGCAAAGGGTATTTGGAATAGAGAGTTCTGGGATTAATCAGTAGCTTAGAATCTAATGAAATAACTAGTGATTGCACTTTTTCCATTTTTTTAGATATTTAATATACTTTTTGTGTAAGGAACAAAAGTTACAAAAGTGAACAGGAAAACAGAACAAAAATATTTATTATTTGTGCTATTTACCTCTGTATTAATGCTGCAATAATGATGCCCACACATGTCTGCCCAACATGTGGCAGAACATTTCGTGCCCTTATAGGCCTTACCAGCCACTTGCGGACTCATCATGCACAGATCTGTTAGATGTCAAGGTCCTCTTCGAACACGATGGATGAACATCATTAATCCAGTATTTAATGTTTTGGATACTAAAAATAGTAAAAGTAATAGATAATAATTCATTATTAAAATATATAATCATAAATTACAGATTCTATTAATACAATAATTGATCTAGGTATCAGTGGCTCCACAATTCTTGAAGGCTTTCTGAATAATCAGATTGTTATCAGTTTTCTGAAAGCCATAAGAATAGAAGCAATCCTTTCCTCAGGGGAAATTGTTCTATAGGAAGTGAGCTTCCTCAGAGACTACTTCACTTGGTATATAAAAACACTTAGCAAGTGCTCCCTGGCTGTCTGGATTGGACAGAAATGGAAATACTACCTCTTAGATACTTAGGTCCTGAAACAAGTTGACCAACACTTTAAATTGCACTTGGAAACACCTGCAGAAAAGGTGTAATGTGTAGGATCACGGCTTCCTAGAAAACACTGAATTCTGGACTAACTAAAGTTTACAGATGATCTGGGGCAGCCCATTCACAGCAAATTATAATAACAATGTAATAGGGAATTAGTAAGAGTCTTTGAGGTTGTGAGTACAACTCCATCAAAATCAGGTTTGTTTCAATCTTGGAATCAGATATTTAAATTAACAGTTATCCATCTTGCTTGAATTGAATCTCGGCCTCTTTTTCCCCACTGTCAAACTTCCACTGCATCTCTTTTTGTGCCCAGAACAGAGCTGTACCACTCAGTATCATCAGCATATTGAGGGTACGTCACTCTGAATTGACTAATAACATTTCCTAATAGTTTCATTTAGACATTAAATAGTCTAGGGAAAGGACTGAGCCCTTGGACATTCCATAATAAAGTGTATGTAGGCCATCATTTATCTTCTTATCACTACAGATTGGGCCCGCCCTTTTAAGAAGGACTTCTTAAGGAATGAAGACCAGGGTCCCTTTCAAGGCTGTAGGATTCTCCCCTTTCATCAAGGAAGAGTTTACTGTTTGAAACAAATATTCAGAAGTTGGAAATAAAGTAAATATGTAAATAAAGAGGACAGAAGCATTCATTAAGAAGCATCTTGAAAAGAGTATTAAGGACAATTCCTCTGTTATTATAACCTGTCTCAATATAGTATAGTTGTGGTCTTCCTGTCAAGTATGTTTCCTGATCTACCTTGAAAGACTGACATGCAGATAACATTACTAAGAGAATTCTAGCCACATCCTCAAGATGCACAAACTTAAAACCCTTTCTTATAATATCATAGGATGTTACCTCTGTCATTTCAGTAGCTTTCTTCTCCAGGGCTTCCAACTCAGAGTAAACACAAGTAATTTTATCTATTAAATGCTGTACCAGACAACCATAATTCAAAGTAGTTTGTTTTAAAGGGTTCCAGATACCCTAATTAGTGGCTAACATTCTGCCGCCTCACTCAGATAGAAATAATTGCACTTTGCTGTCCAGATCATCATAGAAAAGCTTGAACCTGTATTGAACTCCAGCCATATTTCTTCTTTGCTTCAAAATAGAGAAACCTAGCCAGGTTTTAAAGATATTATTAAATATTCAAATTTGGTAATATTGATTGGTCATTTTATTACATTGATAGAGTGCAAGTTTATAAACATAAAATGAACCATTTCATTAATCCAATGTGGTAACTCTGGAGTCATACTCTTTTTAACATTCAATGGTTTTTGCTGCTTTTTGTTCTTGATAAATAGATTTAACAGATTAACAGAGTTGGAAGGGGCCTTATAGGTCATCTAGGCCAACACCCCCCACCCACCCTGCTCAAGGAGACCCTACACCAAACATATGATTTCTTCATTTAGTGGTAAATTCCAATTTATTGATATAAAATATACTTGATATTCCAAGTACTTTTACATTTTTAAACAGCATTATGTTGATAATATTATGAAAATATGAAATGAAACCAAACTCTGCTGAGTCAAGCACTAAATAAGTGACTTTCCATTCACTTCTATAATAATGAGGTTTAAAAATACATATATTTTTACTACAATTTTTTCATACAATAAAAATATACAAAGAAAGGTGAAAAAGGAATGAAAAAACTTACTTTGATGCCTTCTACCTTTCTTTATATCAGGTAATTATCATCCTAATCTATTTTTTTAAGTCTGTATTTTTTCACCTAATTAGACTGGTCACCTTTGCCATTTTTGCAGGTTCAGTTAATTTTATAAACTGTTTTTCCACTCTAGGTATTTCATTACTTTTACGATTTTGGCATAAAATAATCTTGCAGCAATTACCGTACAATATTAATTTCCCATATTTCTTTTCTAATATCACATTCACAAAGTCCAATAGGCATAATTCTGATTTCATCGTGGTAAAATGGGAGTTCTGAAGGCCACATATTTCTGGAAAATAGCCCCATTAAAGGTTAGTTAACTGTATGTATTGGTGCAGTGTTGATATAGTCTGTACAGGGTATTCATATCCAGTGCATTATTTTAAGTGCCCAAATTATAAAAGTTGTTTAGATTAGTGAATAAATACGAAAGTTTTTTCTTGATACATTTATTATAGCTTTTAAACCCATTATTAATGACACCTTTATTTTCTATGTAGGATGTAGCCCTGCAGTAAGCAAAAACATTATTTCTTCACATTTTGATATCAGTATGAAGGCATGATGAACTTTTTAAACATTTATTTTGTTTAATCCTACAGCTACCCGCAAATCTTCAATTGGTGTAAAAAAGAGCAGCAAGAACAGGACATTAGCCAGGCAGTCTATTTCAAGAATTCCAACTTCATCAAATTCTACCTCATCCAGACTAACTCATTTAAATAATTCCAGGGTACCAAAGAGACTGAAAAAGCCTGCAAAGCCTTTACTTTCAAAGTTAAAGTTGCGAAATCAGTGCAAAAGACCAGAACAAAAAAATGCATCTAGAAAACTCGAAATGGGAAATTTGGTTCTTAAAGAACCCAAAATAGTTCTGTATAAAAATTTGTCCATTAAGAAGGAAAAAGAAACAGAGGGACCGGTAAAAGTTGCAGTGTCTAGTGGCTGCTTAACAAGGCATGCAGCGCGAGAATATAAATTAAATTCAGTGAAAGGTGCTCATGAACCTGGGGAAATATCACCCTGTACATACATAACACGGAGGTCAATGAGAACACGAATGAATCTGAAAGAGACCTCTGACTTAAAGCTTGAACCAAATATGCTAAACAGCTATAAAAACAGTTTGACAGGCATGCGAGCCAATAGCTTGGAACAGCAGTCTCATGTGATTCTGGAGAGTGAGCAATCTCTCATGGCAACACAGAAGGCAGAGGGGAGGTGTCAGAAGAGTGAAAGAGTTGTGGCCAAAAAGAAATCTCGACAAGGGAGACTGGTGAAGCCATTGGCAAAAATGGAAGAAACGGATTGTGCGCATACATTGACTGGCGAAGATAAATTGCCAGATTTGATCAGTTCACATTCTGAGCTAGGAGAGATAAACAGTGTAATGGATTCAGCCATAGGATATAAAGACTGTATTCCTGCATCTGGTGGCTGTTCCATTGTAACTTCTGACACTTTCAAAGTCAAAGAGCGCTTTAGAACTGCAAAAAGTAAAAAGAAAAGGCGAATCACAAGGTATGATGCACAACTCATTCTTGAAAACAGCTCTGGGATTCCCAAACTTACTCTGCGAAGGCGGCATGATAGTAACAGCAAGAGTAATGACCAAGAAAATGATGGAATGAATTCTTCAAAAATAAGCATCAAATTAAGTAAAGACCATGAGAAAGATAATAATTTATATGTAGCAAAGCTTAATAATGGGTTTAACTCAGGATCAAGTAGTAGTTCAACAAAATTAAAAATACAGCTAAAACGAGAAGAAGAAAATAGGGGAACGTATTCAGATGACCTTCATGAGAACGGCGTGTGTTGCAGTGATCCTCTTTCACTACTAGAGTCACGAATGGAAGTGGACGATTATAGTCAATATGAAGAAGAAACTATTGATGATTCTTCATCTTCAGAAGAAGAGGAGGAGGAAGATGAATATGATGATGATTTTGAGGATGATTTTATTCCTCTGCCTCCAGCTAAACGTTTAAGGCTTATAGTTGGAAAGGATTCAATAGACATTGACATTTCTTCCAGGAGAAGAGAAGATCAGTCTTTAAGGCTCAATGCATAAGCTTACAGGTCTTAAACTGAAGATGTCCATTTTTAAAAAAAACAAAATTCCAGACAATTATTCTTCAACTGATGAACTTTCTCAAAATGTTAGTGGAAGCACTTCTTTATTGTTTGTTCACTTATATCAACATAATATTGTAGAAAGTGTACAGCATATTGACTCCTTAAGTCAAGTTGTGCAGATTTTTATTGTACTTTTTAATAGCCTTCTTATGTGCAATTCTGAGTTAGAGAAAATGCTCTATTGTAAAATAAAGGCTCAAGCATAATTACAAAAATGCCATCAGATTTTTCCATGAAGGATAATTAAATCACAATAATGTGGCTAAACAATTTTTAATCTGTCAAGAGCGTTATTTTGCTCTTACATCTGACTAAATAATCTAAAAGAAATCATAGTAGCGGCCTATTAAGGTTTCCTAGTATGTTAATATCACCAGCAATGAAATACAGCTTTTCCGTTTAATTGCTAGATGTTTTCCCCTCTGAAGTTTGTCAGTTTTAACACTGTATGCTGTCCCCAGACGTACTGTTTGTGGCCTTTGTTATAGTAGCAAACCGTTGGTTTGAAGTCAAATTGATTTCTTAAAAAAAGGTGTTGACAGTTTGCTGACTTTTAGTACATTATATGTACAAGAGTAGCAGTATGCAGAATACAAGTTTGGATGGTGTATTTATTTCTTGTTATGTAAATTAAAACACCTTGTATTTAACACTTTTTCAATACTTTTAGATAAAATTGTTCTTTGCAAGAATGATTGGTGCTTATTTTTTCAAGAACTTGCTGTGAAACAATGTGATTACAACAGGCAACATTTATCCAATTAATTGCAGCCATTCTAATTGGATCCCCATAGTTTTCTGTTGCACTTGTAAAAAAAATGCTACGAGGAATTTAAAGAAACCTATTCACTTTAACTTATGATAGTTTTATGAAATTTTAAAAAAAAGCCTAAGTCACAGCTTTTGTTCTGTGGTAATCTATAAAATGTTTGTCTTTTGAGATCCAGTGTAAAAAAACTGAAAAAGAAAATGTACATGTTGTAAATATTTGTGTGTTGTGCAAAATTTTGTCATAAAAATTGATAACTTACCAGAAGGGTTTTTAAGTTTAGAAATACATTAATGCCAATAAATAGGAAATTACAAACATAGTTTTAAGCTCTGACCAGTGGACTTTTTTTTGTTCTTGGGCTTGTTTTAGCTCATATTCTGAGATTTTAAGTATTTGTATAGGTTTTTTTTTAAAAAAAAACTGTTTTTAGAGCTAGAATGAAAAGTAACAAAACTGTAATATTAACAATGTATTTGATCTTAACCTCGTTATTTTTATTAGGCATGTAATCAGGGCTATTTGTAATTGTCATTCTGTGTGTAGAATTTTGCACAGAATCATCAGGTAGGATACAAAATTCCATGGAACATTCATCTCCCTCTTTCTAAGTTTCCAAACCACTTGACTTACTAGATATATGTTTATAAATAATTTTTCAAATCTTATAAATTTGGGAGTGACACAAAGAACACAAATTGGGCTCTATTGAATAGCAAGTTCTTGTGCAATGGAAAATTATTCCTGTTAAGCCTTCTGTAACCACATGCAATTGCTGAGTTTCTGAGGATAGTTATCGTCTCTTCCAGTTGTACCACTTTTCCTCTACAGTTGTAATTCTCATTATTATCCGTTGTTTTTAGACCTACCAATATCATTACTTGCCAGGAAAAAAAAANACTTTTCCTCTACAGTTGTAATTCTCATTATTATCCGTTGTTTTTAGACCTACCAATATCATTACTTGCCAGGAAAAAAAAAATTAGCATGGGCAAAAAAAAAAAGAAAAAAGGAAAGGATTATTAATTTTGCAAACAGCAAATACATTCATATATTGTTTGGAGTGGAATTTGAGTATAGTAAAAACAATTTGTGAGTAAATATTTTTGTTAACCATAACACTTTGTAACGACATCATAATTGTGCTTATGCTGCCAAGAAGAACCTACAGTAACGTGTATGCATGTGGTATATGGTGTGATATAAGACTTCTAACGTTACTGCGGCACAACCTTCTACAATGTGCTGTCTTACCATTAAGATGATGTACAATCCCCAGGATATCTAACTCACCCTCTGGAGGAGAACTAGCTTAGTACTGATGCCAAATACTGTACTGCTGTGGTTCAAGAATTGCATTACTGTACTTTATACATTGCTCTGGTTCAGGGGTGAAATGCTCTGAAATCTGCTACCACTTTGCTTTGTGCTCGCTTTGCGCACATGCGGACCGCAGGCTCTGAGAAGCTTTTTCTGAGTTTGCAAAGGTAAGTAGAATAGCAGCAGGGGAACAGCTGTGCTGTGCAATTTACATTAGCTGGAAAGCAGGATTTCTTGCTTTCTAGCTAATATAACTTGTGCTGCACAGCTAACCCAGAACTTTTTTTACCATTTTTTAAATACCTATTCCCCCGAACTGGTAGTAAAAAATACTTTAAAAAGTTTTTTAAAAAATTCCTACCATCGGCTGTGCCGTGCGATTTCTAGCTAATATAAATTATGCAGCACTGCTGATTGTTGCACAGCTGACCACCGGTTCACCCATTTTTTACTACCAGCTTCGGCAAACCAGCCCAAACCGATAGCATTTCATCCCTGCTCTGGTTGCATTAAGGATCAGCCTGTCGGCTTGGCAGCAGATGGCAGAGTGATTTTGGAGACTAGGATATAAGTGTACATCTTGAAGAATCTGTTCGAGTTACATTGGCAGAGCTATTGAAATAGTTTATCTCTAGAGAAGTTGCATCTGAGAGTTCCCTACTCTCTCATGGTACAGGTGGTCCTTGCCTAAAAATGGCTCTGTGCCTGCCATGCAATTACAGTGCCACAACATCCCACAGGCACATCCCACAATCGCCCTTTGCAACCTTCATTGCCAGAATCCCACAAGCGAAATCAATGTGCAAGCCAGCAGAAGGTTGTAAATGGTAATCTCATGATATTGTTAACAATGGTGCAGGATTTACTTAATAGCAAGTCTAATCACTAAATCACACATTCACATGACATCGTCACATGACATCTTGATTTACAACTAGTTTGCTTAGCCATGCAAATTCCGATCTCGATTGCCATCATTAACAGGACAACCTGTACAAACATCAAGACAAATGACCCTTTAAAAAAAATTAAATTTGAAATGTCCATTTGTACTACTTAAAAGTACATGTAGAAATTTTTAAGGTAGAATTTTTTGCTCCCTACTGTTAAGAGAAAAAGTTCTAGACTTAGTATAATGCAAACCTGATGCTAGCGAAGCAGCAAGAGCATTCATTCTATGCAAAACTGAACAATTCATAGTAGCAAGCTCTTGAGATTTACCCTGAACATTGGAATTTTCTCATATGAATTAGTGACAGATCTAGCCCTAAATTGCTAGTTTTTATACAAGTTGTGTTTTGTTTCTTAATCCTTGATGACTGCCTGTTCAAGTCACCACAGTTTTCTTGGCAAGATTTTTGGGTTTGCCCTTGCCTCCTTCCTAGGGCTGAGAGGGAGTTAACAGTTTACTCAAGGTCCCCCAATTGGCTTGATATCTAAGGCAGGATTAGAATTTACCATCTCCTGGTTTCTAACCTGATGCCTAAAACAATCAAACAATCTCTCAAAATGTTTATGTTTCTGTTATTTCAGATTTCACTCAAGTGACAGTAAAGTCAGAAATGTGGAACAGAAATTATTTTCTGGCATTTTTTTTCCATCTCTCCTACAACTTACACTTTATCCCAAGGATATTTTATGATAACTTTCTTCAATATCCATGGTGATAATTGTGAAATATTTTCTTTCAGCTTTTGTGGGAAGCTCTAGTCCTTGCTCTGAGTTATATCCAGCATATAAAATATTTAGAAAAAGTGAATATAAATATCTATGTCCCATGCCCAAACTGATTTGAAATAAATAGAACAAATGGGGGAAGATTCAAAATTTAAATTTATTTAAATATTGAGTTGAATGTGGGGAAAAACCTGGCCTATTTAATACAGTATATGATTATATGATTATGTTTATCTTTGTGAACATTCCTTTTTCTTTTAAATTAATGTGAAGTGTGTATTTGTTACTGAAATGTGTTATTGGCTCATAGTTTTTGGCATACTGCATACAGAATGTTGTGAAAATAATCCAGTCAAATGTGATATTGTTGGTGAAATAATAATCTTATTTCTTATCAATCTGAAGTAGCCTGAATGTCAGTTGAAATCTGACTAGGTGTTTTTTTATTTGGAGCTTGGTGATATGCTCTATAGAATTCATGACATGAGCCAAAAAAGAAGGCATACTGTATATACTCTAATTTTCTTTTGTTTTCCATAAATCATTTCTTTTTAAAATCTGGAACAGTGCATTTATATAAAAATAGCAAAAAAACCCCAAAATATTAAATGGAAATTCCAGAATGTTTGTTTTCAAAAAGCCGTTTTTCAATATGGCTTGAATTTCAGTGTATAATTTGAGCAGTCCAAATCAATTGTGACAAGTGAAGAGTTATTAAATGCAGGAATCTCTAGGTTTGTATAGAATCACTTGCACTTGCATGTAAGGTTGAAAGACTAGACTTGGTTAGTACTTGGATGAGATCAGCAAGAAATCTGAGAGCTATAGACAACAACAGAACCCATAATTAACTACTCCGTTAAGAAAATTGTAGCTGTCTGGGCTATATAAGCATATTGATGTGGCACATTAGTGGTCTAAAAGTTACAAAAATAGTTATGCTTTGGTGCTATTTTTAGAATAGCATTTATATAGCAATTTCTTTTATTTGTTTGGGTTTCATTTTCTTGGAATTCTTTTGGTAGAACATTAAAGTATATTAGTATTAGTATTTTAGTATTAGTATTATTTATGTGGTGTGTTCTGTGTATTCTACCAGTATGTGAACCCAATCAGCCAGTTGGTCAGTTGATTGATCCATTGAGGTCTCAAGAATTTCATCCTGTCCTAGGATCTTTATCATGAAAAGGTAAAGGTTGAGATCTACCCTGAATTATAGTCATGGTAATTAAGATATTAGGGAGGTGGGTTGAAACCCAAATTCTACAAAGAATGAGTTTAAGGATGTGATATATTTAGCCTGGAGGTTTTGTGGACTATGTCCTCCTTTCTGTGGGCCAATATTTTTATATGCCAATTGCAGCCAATTGAAACTGCCAGTTTGCAGCTTTCCTTCTGTCTCCTCTAAGAACTTTCCTACATGCCATTACAGAAGATGACTATGCTGTTCTCCTGAAGCTTTAGACATGAAAATGTCAGGTGGAAAAATGTGACTAAATGTAGAGAAATCAAAAGATATTTATCTATTGGATGAAAGCAAGCTTCATGAAATCCCACAACTAAATCTATGCTTTAAATTCCCTCATAAACTTGTGGCATACATAATTATAATAGCATTAATATTAAGAGCATACTATTAGGGATTATAAAACAGTGAAATAATAAATCATTTGTCAACCATATCAAAAGTCCTGTAGCATAATTGTGGCTTGATTATTTGACCCTAAAGTATTTTGTGGACACTACTGAAAAGCTTTCTAGAAAAAGTAAATAAAATCTACACTAAATCTCACAAATCATTAAAATTATGGTTTCATTATTTCAGAATTAAAAATAACAGCTGTAAACTTTTTTTAAAGGATGTAGAATCAACATTAATCATATGAATAACTATCACTAGAAAAACTGCATTTCTGTGAAGTAAAATGC